ACCAACACACCCACACACACACACACACACACATATATATATATATAAATGCTATGGCCACCATTACAATTTCTTATAAGAAGTGTAACTAATAATCAGTAGTAAAGATAAAATGGAATAAAACAATACTTAAGAAACAGGCAGATGTTTAAAAAGGGGGTGAAAAAAAACAGTAGCAACAAAAAGAACTGTAGAAATAGAAAACATCTACCAACATGGTAGATTTAAAGCCAGTCAATGATATAAGTGACTGATATAAATATAAATATAAGTGACTGAAACATCACAATAAAAAGTTAGAGACGGGCAGAGTGGATATAAAAGTAAGACTCACCTATATATCACCCATAAGAAATGCACCTTAAAAACTATAAATATGGGGACCAGGAGTTAGCGTAATGGCTATGTCGCTGGACTCCCATGTGGTCGACCGCAGTTGGCGTCCCGGACCCGTGGCTTAAAACTCACGCCGGGCGCGTGTGCGTGCGTGCCCAAGATCCCAAGAGGAGAATGGAGGAGAAGGGATTGCGGCGTGGCCATCGCCCCCTGGGGGGTGATTTCTCTCTTTCTGCTCGACCCCTGGGATTTCTCTCTTTCTGCTCTCTGTGTCTGTCTGTCTGGCGAGTGCACGTGCCCTATAGCAAAAATCTCTCAAAAATAAAATAAAATAAAATAAAATAAAATAAAAACTATAAATATGTAGACGAAAAGTAAAATCCCAGAAAACCATATGCCATGCAAATGCTATTATTATAGTAATATCAGAAAAGGAATATTACCAGAGACAGAGAGAGACATTACACAATGATTAAGTAGTTAATTCATCAAGAAGATAGAACAACCCTAAGTGTGGCTACACTATATCCCCAAACATCAGAGCTTAAAACATACAAACCTGATAGCTGAAAGACAAATTGACATTATAGTTGGATACTTCAAAACTCCTTTCTCAGTAACTGACAGAACCAGTAAACAAAAACGCTAGTGAAAACACAAAAGAGCTGAAAAGTATGATCAATCAAACTGACCTAACTGATATCGACAGAATGAACACTTCATTCCAATAAGAACAAAATATATACTCTTTCTAGAGTACATGGGACAGTCACCAAAATAGAATATATTCTGAGACTTATAAAAATAATACTCAACCAATTTTATATAATTAAAATTACACGAAGAGAATTCTGTGGCCAGAACAGAATTAAATTAGGTATTAGCAACTAAAAGATATGTGGACAATGCCCATGAATTTGCAAATTTAACAACTTACTTATAAGAACCAAATTCAGTCAAGGAGGAAGACTTCTCCCAAAATCAGAAAAAAAATTACTTCAAAATAGATAAAGACATAATACATAAAAATTTTCTGAATGCAGTAAAAGCATTATTTAGAGGGAAATGCACAGCATTGTGTGTTTATGTTAGAAAAGAAGGTGCTGGGGCCAGGAGGTGGTATGGTGGATAAGGGCACTGGACTCCAATATGGCCAACCGTGGTTTGAGTCCCGGACCTAGCGGCTTTCTTTCTCTCTCTCTGTCCTTTTCTGGTCAAATTATAGTAAAATAAATAAATACAGTTAAATAATTCTTAAAAAAAATTAAAGAAAAGAAGGATGCCAAATCAATTATCTCATCTCCTACCTTGAGGGAAAACAAACAGTGTTCAAAAGTATGCAGAAGAAAGAAAATTAAAATGAGAGCAGAAATCAATATTAAAATGGCAAAATAGAGCAATAATGAAATTAAAACACAGCCAAGGGAAAAAAATCCATAAAACCAATACTAGGTCTTTGAAAACATCAATAAAATCTTG